ACCATTTCAATGACTGTGTTTATTGTGTGTTTACAGGAGCAAGTGTTAGATCCAAAGACCAGACTGATGTTGTACAAACTGGTAAATGGAGAAGTACTGGAAGCCGTGAACGGCTGTATCAGCACAGGAAAAGAAGCATGCGTCTTCCATGCTAATGGAGGAAGGTTTGTGAACTTAGTCTTGATAGGCATATTCTCAAGAAAAAAATTGAATTAATTTATTTGGTCTGACATTGACTTTAGTTCATTTTTGAATTTGAAGGAGAGAAGAGGAACCCATGCCAGAGGAGTGTGCAGTGAAAGTGTTCAAGACAACCTTGAATGAATTCAAGACAAGGGATCGTTATATCAAGGATGACCATCGATTCAGAGATCGCTTCAGCAAACAGAATCCCAGGAAGGTAATCAGGCTCTGGGCAGAGAAAGAAATGTGTAATCTAAGCAGGTTGGTTTCTTTTATGCTGTTTTTCTTGTTGATTTCAATCAATGTACAGTGTTCATGTGATTAGTTTTTTTTTTTTTATTAACAACATGACATGTATATGATGATGATGATTATGATTGGGGACACTATTTACACGTTAAAATATATCTTAGCTACATAAATATCACTGTTGACTCATTGACTCGCTTTAGGAGTAAAACGCTGATGACACAGACTCTGTCAACAAACAAATGCGCATGAAATGTATCAATTAGTTTTAATTGTAAATATACTTTATATAGATTTTTGTTGCTTTTTTAAATTCTTGGCATGTCTGTAAAGTAGCTATTTAGCTAAGTGCATTTAGCCATGTTAAATAAAGGTTATTGTAATTAATGTTTATTATTGTTTACAGGATGAAGAAAGCTGGTATTGCGTGTCCTACTGTTGCGCTCTTGAAGAAACATATTCTGGTCATGAGTTTCATAGGCAAAGATCAACAACCTGCGCCAAAACTGAAAGATGCTGTTCTGTCTGCACGTCAGTTACAGCTGGCTTATGAACAGTGTGTTCAGGTACCAAGTGATTAACTACAAGTATTGCTATTAGATGTATATTTTAAAACTAGTAGTAACCAGAGATTGGTGAAGTGCGTTCGATACCGGGGGGGGAGGAAGGGGGTACTCTAGCAATTTTTTGATAGGGTGTGTTGCTAGGAACATGACATTTTTTGGGTTATAGCAGTGGATATTCAGTTAGTATTTGGACACCTGATTGTAGGCTGAGTACCAGAAATACCTTCTCTATTTAATATTTCGAATTAAATAATATTTCATACTATATTTAATAAAAAAAATCAGAAGCTCAATTCTTTTTATATCAAGATCCCTGACTGTTTTGCCAGTTCCTGATTCCTATACCCAAAGCAGACTGCTGGAAAAGCATACCCTTGACAGCAACGCGTACTAAAGCCCATTTATCTCATTCCCTTTCCAGGGTTTTTCCAAGTAGTGTATTCCTCAGGGTATTGTTTAACTCTTATGTCCTTTATTGGCATTACATGTCACATTGCTCTAGCCGGCGCATCATTTAGTAAGGTTAAATACTGTGTATAACTATAGAAAAAGAATAACAGTACATGGAAGTTTATTTCCAAACATGGATGTTTTTCACTTAAGTTNCTGTCTTTCCCACGGTCAATGAAGTTGTGTTGATTTATTCAAGCTATTACGGTCGAGCCTTGCAACTTCATTCTCACAGAGAAGTGGAATCACCAAGAAAAGCAGCTGACTCCTGATGGACAACACAGATCACAAATCGATATGTTACCCGTGCAGTTTCAGAGAAAATACAGCACTACATGGCTTTCTGGTGCTTAGATAAGTACCTTTAGGCATTTTAATAAAATCAATAAATCAACACAACTTCACTAACCTTGGGGAAAACTGCCACGATTCCTGCGTAGAACAATGAACCAAGAAAAGCACATGGAAATGCACGGGTAGCACTTCATGTAAGACCTCACTATTATTCAAAGTGAGGCATCACATCAGACCAATGCCATGTGTGCCACAAAGTCAGTCCAAAATGGCATCCAAACCCTGAAATCATCTGGTATCGCAGAAAATCACGGGACATGAACCTGTGGGTATGACTGGATTAGAATGCGTTCTCCTATCGTTGAACGCAATGAAGGCAAAGAAGTGTAAAATGTGATGTTAACAGTGTCTATATGTGTATCATCACACAGAACATGCAGCCAGACTACCATGTGTAGTATGTGCTGTGTTCAACTATGATATTATTGAGTTATTTTTTTGTAAAAAAAATACCTCTTAGTCGGCGTGTCGGGTGTGTTATGGACGGGTCAATGGGTGAGTGAGTGAGTGAGTGAGTGAGCGAGTGAGAGATGTATGTATGTCACACCAATCAGATTGGATCTACTAT